AATTACATAAACCATATTGAACAAAAGACACCAACAGATACAGACTCTATTTACATAAGGTATTAGATACCAGAGACAGATAAATACATGTAAATGATAGAGATATGATAGCTAGGCCAGTCCACAGGGTATTAGTCGTGATCCGCGTGATTTCTGAAGACATGAGAGGGCATGGGAGGGTTTAGGGGAGCTTCCGCTTTTCTGGCGAGGTTTTATTTTTGCCCGGGGAGCTATCAGCCAGCGGAGATCTGTGAGAAGGGATAAGACCTCAGGGGAAGTACGAGGAAGAGCGTTCCGCGGCCCGCGACCGGGCGGCCCCTTCACCGTCGGAGGCAGCGCCCAGCCCGCTCCAACGTGGAGCAGGAGCAACGGCGTGGCCCGTGGACCCCGCCCCTCGCAGGCAACCACAGAGAAGCCGGACTGGGCCACGTCTAGGAAGAGGCAGGAATAGGCGAATCGTTTCTCCAATAGAAAAGGATGTGTTTGCGGACCAATAGGTCGCCGAGAATGACACCCGCCCACGCGCCTGCTAAGCCAATCGGCTAGGAGCAGCGAGCGGCGGGGCTGGGTCGCTGCGGTCCCTTGGAGCCGCGCAGTATGGCGGGCGGGGCCCGGGAAGTGCTCACCCTGCAGTTGGGACACTTTGCCGGTTTCGTGGGCGCGCACTGGTGGAACCAGCAGGTGAGGTCGGCCGGCAGCTGCCCCCGAGGAGCCCTTCGGGATCTACAGTCCCGATGTTCAGCCGGCCTGCCTCGTCCTCTCTGCTTCCCCAGGATGCTGCGCTGGGCCGAGCAACCGATGCCAAGGAGTCGCCGGGAGAGCTGTGCCCCGATGTCCTGTATCGTACGGGCCGGACGCTGCACGGCCAGGATACCTACACGCCGCGACTCATCCTCATGGATCTGAAGGGTGAGGTGGTGGCAGCATCAGCCCGTGTTTCCCTTCCGCGAGCCGAGTCCTTGCGCTGCCGTTATCTTCAAGACCCTCGCACCTTACCGAGCTCCAGGACCGGAGATGAGCTGAGCACAGCATGCCAACACCCGAGAGGCGCAGGACGGCAAAACTTTATTTTGCTCAAGAGCCATCTCGGGAATAGGCTGCTAGGCCCTAGAGACAGAGGACTTGAACTACAGCACTCCTGTCGGACCCTTGGATGTGGTTGTTGCCCCCGTTCCACAGCTAATGACTAAGCTGAGAACGGAAAGATGGAATCAGGATTCTCCTAGGCCAAGGTTCCCCTGCCCGAACTAGTGTATATCCCAGAAAGCTTGGAAGAGCCAAGTGCTGGAGAGATGGTGACAGCAGGTTGTCAGGTGATGAGAGGAAGGTTGGCTAGACCGGGAGGGTGCCCCAGGCTTTGACCTAACTTTGTCTCTGTTATTTCTGTACAGGTAGTTTGAGCTCCCTAAAAGGGGAAGGTGGACTCTATAGGGACAAACAGTTGGATGCTGCAATAGCATGGTGTGTAATTGATGTGTGGATAAGGGTGGGGAACATGTATGTACATAGAACGCAGAAGAACTCATCAGAGTGCGGTTTCTTTGATCAATCTCCAATCTTTTTCAGGCAGGGGAAGCTCACCACACACAAAGAGGAACTCTGTCCCAAGAACCCTTATCTCCAGGACTTTGAGTACAGAGGTGAGGGCCTCTGCCCTGAACTTTTTAACCAGTGCTACAACCCGAGGGCCTCCATAGGGGCAGGTAAAAGGGAATTTTAATCATTTTAAATGTCCTAGAATGATATTTTGGGAAAAAGCACTTCTTTTCCTAAGGACCACGACTCGGTGAAGAGAAAGGAGGCTGTGCGGTGTGGCCAGCCAACTCAAGAAGGATGAACCAACCTTTACCTCTAAACTGCCCGGAACTAAATGTAGATTTTTTTCACCCCTCCCAGGGAGTGCTGAGTAGTGATGGTGTTTGGAGGGTCAAATCCATTCCCAATGGCAAAGGTGAGACTTCTCCAGATACTGATGGATGCGGGTCTGGGGAGCAGAAACATGGAGGAAGGTACATTTCCTCTGCTTGTCTTCAGGTTCCCCACCACTCACCACCGCTACAACTCCAAAACCACTTATCCCTACAGAGGCCAGCATCAGGGTCTGGTCAGACTTCCTCAGAGTCCATCTCCATCCCCGGAGCATCTGTATGATTCAGAAGTACAACCATGATGGGTATGGGGACCTCAGAGGCTGTGAGGCAAGAAACGTGGGTCCCCACCAATGCAGGATGAGGCTCTTGAGGCCATCTTCCCTGCGCTCCCCCAGGACAAGAGGTTGAGGAGCTGAGGGAAGAGATGTAAGTCTTGGATTGTGTTTACTTGTGGCAGGGAAGCAGGTCGGCTGGAAGCTTTTGGCCAAGGGGAAAGTGTCCTAAAGGAACCCAAGTACCAGGAAGAGCTGGAGGACAGGCTGCACTTCTACGTGGAGGAATGTGACTACTTGCAGGTAGCGGCATGGCAACGTGCACTCCAGGGTAGAAGCTCTTCTTATCCTACTCCCTAACTATTTTTCATCACTCACCTCCGCTCAGGGCTTCCAGATCCTGTGTGACCTGCACGATGGCTTCTCTGGGGTAGGCGCGAAGGCGGCAGAGCTGCTACAAGATGAATATTCAGGGCGGGGAATAATAACGTGGGGCCTGCTACCTGCTCCCTACCATCGTGGGGTGAGTGGAACGTGGAGGAGTAAGCAGTCACACGGTGGGGAGGGAGAAATGAGAATCCCAGGGGGAGAGTTGCTTAATGCAAACTACTCTTTTTCTTCACCAGGAGGCCCAGAGAAACATCTATCGTCTATTAAACACAGCTTTTGGTCTCGTACACCTGGCTGCTCACAGCTCTCTCGTCTGTCCCTTGTCGTTGGGTGGGAGCCTCGGTCTGCGACCTGAGCCACCTGTCAACTTCCCTTACCTGCATTACGATGTAAGTCTCGGTGCTCGTTCTGACTGCAGCAGGCTACGGGGCCTCCTCATACTCCCAGTCAGCCGCTGTCTGTTACTGGCTCTGTTCCTGAGGCCCGAGCTTGAACTCAGCTGTGATGTGGCCTCTCAGCTCACACTGTCCTATGCCCTATGCTTGTCCAGCCAGAGGCCAGACATACCCCTGCTTTGTCCCCTGGATCTTTCTGGTGTTAATATTCTGCCTCCACACATTCTTTTCCAGGCCTGAGGCCAAGGGCCCCTCTTGGTGTCTTCTTACAGGCCACTCTGCCCTTCCACTGCAGTGCCATCCTGGCTACAGCCCTGGACACAGTCACTGTTCCTTATCGCCTGTGTTCCTCTCCAGTTTCCATGGTTCATCTGGCTGACATGCTGAGCTTCTGTGGGAAAAAGGTATGAAGCTTTGTGAGGGGTTGGGTCAGTGCTGAGAAAACGTCCTCTAACGTGTTCTCTTCCTTCTCTTTAGGTGGTGACAGCAGGAGCAACCATTCCTTTCCCCTTGGCTCCAGGCCAGTCGCTTCCTGATTCCCTGATGCAGTTTGGAGGAGCCACCCCATGGACCCCACTGTCTGCATGTGGGGAGCCTTCTGGAACACGCTGCTTTGCCCAGTCAGTGGTGCTGAGGGGTATAGACAGAGCATGCCACACGAGGTGAGAGCTGTTGGTCCTTAGGAGCCCCTTGTCAGATTTTTCTTTCATATCCTTTTCCCCCTAATTTCTCGGGGACATTCTAATGATATCGTTCCCTCCCCACCCCTTAAAAAGGAAGCAAAAAGAAATTTTTTTTTTTGGATCCAGCTGATGGCCTGAAAACATAAGAATTCTTAGTTTCTTATTCATGCTGCCACAGCCTAATGGTGGTTTTGGCTTTGTTCTGGCAGCCAGCTCACCCCAGGGACACCTCCACCCTCCTCCCTTCACGCATGTACCACTGGGGAAGAAGTCTTGGCTCAGTATTTACAACAGCAGCAGCCTAGAGTCATGAGGTCAGTGTAACGGTTGCTCCCGCCCTTCTTGCCAACCTCAACCCTCCTGTGACTTCTTTACGTGCTTAGCGTCTGTTCTCTGCCCCCACAGTTCTTCCCATCTGCTGCTGACTCCCTGCAGGGTGGCTCCTCCTTACCCACACCTCTTCTCAAGCTGCAGTCCACAGGGCATGGTTCTGGATGGTTCCCCCAAGGGAGCAGGTAGGTAGGAGGTAAAGAAAACTGAGATTTCAAGTATAGGAGAGTTTTTACTTCCTCTGCAGTACTGGTGTACTAAGGGGGACAGTACACCAAATTTGTTGAGTTTACAATCAAGTCTACTAAGGTTGGACTTCCTTATCAGTTTGATAGAGTCCCAGGGCAGAATAATCATCCATCTACAGGTCTCTCTTTCCTCTCCCTCCACAGCAGTGGAGAGCATCCCAGTGTTTGGGGCACTGTGTTCCTCTTCGTCCCTGCACCAGACCCTGGAAGCCTTGGCCAGAGACCTCACCAAACTCGACTTGCGGCGCTGGGCCAGCTTCATGGATGCTGGAGTGGAGCACGATGATGTAGCAGAGCTCCTGCAGGAGCTACAAAGCCTGGCCCAGTGCTACCAGGGTGGTGACAGCCTCGTGGACTAAAGTTCCCAGCGTGGGAGAGAGGAGCTAGTGTGCAATAAAAACAGCTGGATGCAGGAGCCCAGTGTCTTCGTGCAGAGGAGCTCAATGTCGCAGGACTAGCTACACCAACATATGCACTTTTTACATTTAGAAACACTGTGATTAGACCACAGAACAATAAATATGTGCCATCAGACCAAAAAAAAGTAGAGAAAGGAGCTGAGCTCCACTCTCACTCGATGCTATTTACAGAGGAGATCTGTAAGGTCTTCATAAAAGACCTTGAATGGTGCCTAGGATGGCAGAGCCCCTGGGTCTTACTCCATCCTCCAGCCTTTGTCCTCGTCCTGGGCTCCTCTCCCGGTCTGTAAACTGGCCGCAAGGACTGTACAAGCAGAGTACAACTACCCTCCTGCCTAATGACAGGGCACCTGCTGGGTTTGGTCCTGTGCAGATGATACCCAAGTATTCCCAGAGTCTCATTCATCCAGCTCCTCTTCAGACAGAAGGTCCCCACGGTCAGACAGCTGGTCTGCATTGCTGGTACTGGTTGCATCATCCTCATCCTCAGAGCTGGCTTCACAGGCAGTGTGGAAGAGCTGCATGAGTTCTCGAAAACGGTGGGAGACCTAAAAAAGGTGAAGGGCTGTATTCGCTGATCCTTAGTAACATGTTAACATTTATGAAGCACTATATATTGATTTGCAGAATCTTTTATGTATTCAACACAGCAAGGTTGGGAGAGCTGTCATTATAGCTAAGGAAACTCAAGAGGCTAAATGTTTTGTCCAAAGTCACACGCCTCCTAAAAACAGAATGGCCAGCACAGTGGCTCACACCTGTAATCCCAGCACTTTGGGAGGCCGAGGCAGGCGGATCACTTGAGGTCAGGAGTTTGAGAGCAGCCTGGCCAACATGGTGAAACCCTGTCCCTACTAAAAATACAAAAATTGGTCGGGTGGCGGGCGCCTGTAATCCCAGCCATTTGGGAGGCTGAGGCAGGAGAACTGCTTGGACCCGGGAGGCAGAGGTTGCAGTGAGCTGAGATCATGCCAGCACTCCAGCCTGGGTGACAGAGCAGGACTCCGGCTCAAAAAAAAAAAAAAAAAAAGAAAGCTAGAATGGAAACTGGGGCTTCCATAGGAAGGACAAAATGTAGTGTCCTTTCTCCTCTCCTAGAACCACTACCACCCTGATGAGTCAAGCCTTTCCTTAGATCAGACCTTTACAAAATCCACTTACTGTCTTGGATGTGAAAGCTCCTTCTTTGGCCTTTCTATCTCTTTGTTGGCCACCTTGTCCTTTTTACTGGGTCTTCTCCACCCCCACTCCCACTTACCTCAGTAGGTGTCTTATTTCCCAGCTGCTGGGAGATGATGCTGAAGGTCTGTGGCTGTGCCCCTTGCTCCTGGCACATGGTGAGGATCACACGGTCAGCTTCCCTGTAATCCAGGTATCATGATTAACCCTAGGGAGCCACATGGATGTGGTCTATGCTCTTTTCCAAACACACGTCATCCACCCTTACCTACCTTGTCCACAGGACAACCTTTTCCCCAGTGGAGCTGACCTTGCTGTTGTTGGCACACACTGTAGCTTCTGTGGCCTTTGGCTGCTGCTCCCCCTCTGGACCCTTGCCCTGTGTTCCACTGTCTTTAGACAAACCCCCTCTAGGGGCTTTGGGAGAAGCCTCTGACGTGTCAGTTCCTGATGGAGATTCATGGACAGGGGATGTCCTGTCTCTTGTCTTCACCCTACCTCTGCTTGAGGGCAGCCATCTCTCTTGAGTGTCTGGTTTCCCGGACACATGTCTTCTCCCTGCATCTCTGGTCTTTGAGGAAACAGGACTCAGGAAGGAAGCATGGGGTTCCACGGTACCAGGCAATTGCTCAGTTTCTGATGCATCCCAGACCAGCATCAAAGCCTCTGACTCACCCACTGCCTTTTGGCCCTCCCTCTCTTTCTGAAGTCTGGGGGATGCCTTGGGGCAGGAGAGAACCTCAGGCCCAACCTGGTTTTTCTTAACAGTGTACAGTACAGCTCCAGTTTTGGGGGGAAATTGAGGAGTCTCTGGTGAATGAGGTGGTGGGCCATCCAGGAGGAGCCGTTCTGTAAGAGTCACTTCTCGAGGGGACGGCAAAGTGCCCCCCACTGGCAATCCTGCTTAGGAGGAAAATAAGGATCTCAGGGTACTGTCAGGATCAAGATGCACCTAAGCACGAGAAATTACCACAGGTCACTGTGGCCAGGTACTGTGCAAAAATTCTAATACAAAAGAGGGCCGGGCATGGGGGCTCACACCTATAATGCCTGCACTTTGGGAAGCCAAAGTGGTGGGATCGCTTGAGGCCAGGAGTTTGAGACTAGCCTGGGCAATATGGTGAGATCCCATCACTACAAAAATTATAAATAATAAAAGAGTTGGGTGGAGGTGGGGGGCATAATGTCGCTTATGCAAAGATATGAAGTCCTACTGCCAAAGCTGAGAATGGCCCAGTCTTTACGATGTAGATTATAGTAGATTTGGAGATGGGGGAAGGGTTTTAGGAATGGAAAGAAAAGACAATGTTGAATCGCGTGAAATTTGTCCCAGCAGTCTTTTTTTTTTTTTTTTTAGGCAGGATTTTACTCTTGTTGTCAGGCTGGAGTACAGTGGTGTGATCTCAGCGGCTGCAACCACCACCTCCCGGGAGTTCAAGGGGATTCTCCTGCCTCTGCCTCCTGAGTAGATGGGATTATAGGCTTCCACCACAGAGCCCAGCTAATTTTTTTTTTTTTTTTGTATTTTTAAGTAGAGACAGAGTTTCACCATGTTGGCAGGTGATCTTGAACTCCTGACCTCAGGTAATCCACCCATCTCGGCCTCCCAAAGTGCTGGGATTACAGCGTGAGCACGCCCCAACCACGCACTCTTAATTCTGCAAGAGGAGTGAGGCCATAGGACAGAAAAAGCCTGAATAGGAGAAGGGCTTCCTATGGGTACATCAGTGAAAGAGGTGGCATATCCATCCCTGTAAAGGCTATTTATCCAGGCTCATGGAGGTTCCTGTCTGGAGTACAGGAGAATGAGACTGAGAAACAGAAGGAGCTGGAGTTGGCAGATCACTCACCTGAAAAGGCATCTCTCCTTTCTGTGGTGGTCTGACAGTCCTGCTCTGGGTAGCCTCAGGGGGCTTCTTGGTCTTATGGGATTTGCTGTCACAGACCTGCGAGATGGTCTTCTGGGTCCAAGGTGTTCTGACCGCCTGTGTCTTTGGGCACACCAAGGAAGAAACCCTGCCTGATGTTCACCAAGTCAACCCACATGCATGTCTGCTCCAGCAATTTTTTTTTTTTTTTGAGGAGAGAGAGTCTCGCTCTGTTGCCTGCACTTTCTGGAGTGCAGTGGTGCGATCTCGGCTCACTGCAAGCTCTGCCTCCCAGGTTCACGCCATTCTGCCTCAGCCTCCTGAGTAGCTGGGACTACAGGTGCCCGCCACCACACCTGGCTAATTTTTTGTATTTTTAGTAGAGATGGGTTACCGTGAGCCAGGATGGTCTCGATCTCCTGACCTCGTGTCTGCCTGCACATCGGCCTCACAAAGTGCTGGGATTACAGGCATGAGCCACCGCGCCCGGCCAACAATTTTGTTTTTTTAAGGGAACAGGGTTTCAATTAGGTGCAGTGTTATACCTGTAAACCCAGCTACTTGAGGTCTGAGTGTGAGGATCACTTGAGCCCAAGGGTTCAAGATCAGCCTGGGCAACATAGTGAGACCCTGTCTCAAACAACAACAACAAAACTGAGCCAGGGTGTGGTGGCTCACAGCTGTAATCTCAGTACTTTGGAGGCCGAGGCAGGGATCACTTGAGGTCAGGAGTTCCAGACTAGCCTAGCCACCGTAATTGAAACCCCATCTCTACTAAAAATACAAAAATTAGTGGAATGTTATGGCGGGGGCCTGTAGTCTCAGTTACTTGGGAAGCTGAGGCATAAGAATTACTTGAACCCAGGAGGCAGAGGTTACAGTGAGCTGAGATTGTGCACTGCACTCCAGGCTGGACAAAGTGAGACTCCATCTCAAAAATAAAAAAAGAGAGACAAGGTCTCACAGATAGCAGAATTATCTTGCTCGGGTTGGAGTGCGGTGGCTATTTACCCAGGCATGACAGTGGTACACTATATCCTCGAACTCCTGGGCTCAGAAGTAAGCCAGTCTTCTGGCGTAGGCTCTGAGTGCCCCTTTGCCTTCTGCTCAAATATTTTATTTTGATTGATTGATTTTTTGAGATGGAGTTTCGCTTATGTTGCCCAGGCTGGAGTGCAACAGTGCAGTCTCTACTCACCCCACAACCTCTGCCTCCCAGGTTCAAGCGATTTTCCTGCTTCAGCCTCCTGCGTAGCTGGGATTACAGGCATGCGCCGCCACGCCCTAATTTTGTATTTTTTTTTTTTTTTCAGTAAAAGCAGGATTTCTCCATGTTGTTCAGGCTGGTCTCCAACTCCCAACCTCAGGTGATCTGCCTGCCTCGGCCTCCCAAAGTGTTTAGATTACAGGTGTGAGCCACCATGTCCAGCCAGGGGAAAATTACTAATATTAGATGTGACTCCTAATGATTCCACTCTCCACTTCACCTACTGGTCTCCAGCTAAGGACACTGCCCCAAGCCAGGCAAGGGAGGTAGAGCCCCTCCCAGGTCCCAGAACCTCCGTCTAGCCAGACATCCCTTCCAGGACATCCATGGCATTCCTGAGCCTGTGAAGATTAGACAGGCTCTGGTTTCTGAGTATGTGTCCCTCCACTACCCAGTGCTTTATGCTTTGGGTAAGCCTAAAAAGTCCTTGCCTTGTTCATCTCCTCCAGGAAGCCCATGACACTCCAGAGGCAAAAAGGTATGGAGTAGGTTGGGGAAAGAGACAAGGGAAAGGCCTAAGGCCCAGAAGACAACAGGAAGAAAGCAGGACGGAAAGAATACCTCGGTGATCTCCTGCGAGGCAGTCTGCACAGCCCTGGAGGACCTTATTAATCTTCTGGTGGTGTGAGGGGTTCTCTGCAAAGCAAATCTCCAGCTGCCGAAGGAACTTGCGGCTCTTCTCAAAAGCCTGCTGCTCCTCAAACTACCAGAGTGCAAAGTGGACAAAGAGGAGTCACAATACAGCTAGAGCAAGGACTTGAGGAGTTCTAAGGATAAGAACTAGTGGACCAGGACATGAGAGATGATTGGTTTAAAATTCTAGTTTACAACTATGAGATCAATTTAAACCCTAACCTCCATCCACCTTGGGCCACTGGTGAGTAACCACCAAAGCAATTAAGATGTGAGCAAAACGGCTTCAAGAGATGTACATATTTCATATTTATTTGCTATATTATGGATGTGAAATGAGACACCCAACTCATATTACTACTTTAAGACTTTACATTACAAAAGAATTTTCCAAGCCTTGCAAGTTGGCTCATGCCTGTAATCCCACCACTTGGGAGGCCAGGCAGGAGGAGGATGGTTCAAGCCAGTTTGGGCTGGAGTGCGGTGGCTCATGCCTGTAATCAGAGCACTTTGAGACCAAGGTGGGTGGATCATGAGGTCAGCAGTTGAGACCAGTCACAGCTAAGATAGTGAAACCCTATCTACTATAAAATACAAAAAAAAATTAACTAGCGCAGTAAGCAGGCACCTGTAATCCCAGATACTCAGGAGGCTAGGGCTGAGAGAATCACTGAACCTAGGGTGCAGTACAGTGAGCTGAGATTGCACCACTGCACCTAGCCTGGGTGAAATGGAAGACTCCATCTAAAAAAAAAAAAAAAAAAAAGCCAAGCGTTCAAGACCAGCCTGGGCAGCATGGTAAGGACTCCATCTCTACAAAAAACCTAAAAATGAGGCAGATGTCATGGTGTGCACCTGCAGCCTAGCTATTTGGGAGGGTGAGTCAGGAGGAGCAGGACTTGAGGGTTCTAAGGATAAGAACTAGTGGACCAGGACATGAGAGATGATTGGTTTAAAATTCTAGTTTACAACTATGAGATCTAATTTAAAACCCTAACCTCCATCCACCTTGGGCCACTGGTGGGTAGCCACCCAAAGCAATTAAGATGTGAGCAACGGCTTCAAGAGATGTACATATTTCATGTTGTTTGCTATATTATGGATGTGAAATGAGACACCCAAACTCATGTACTACTTTAGAACTTACATTACAAAGAATTTTCAAGCCTTGCAAGTTGGCTCATGCCTGTAATCCCACCACTTGGGAGGCCAAGGCAGGAGGATGGTTTAAAGCCAGGAGTTTGGGCTGGTGCGGTGGCTCATGCCTGTAATCAGAGCACTTTGAGAGACCAAGGTGGGTGGATCATGAGGTCAGCAGTTCGAGACCAGTCTGGCCAAGATGGTGAAACCCTATCTCTACTATAAAATACAAAAAAAGTAGCTGGGCGCAGTGGCAGGCACCTGTAATCCCAGATACTCAGGAGGCTAGGGCAGGAGAATCACTTGAACCTGGGAGGTGCAGGTTGCAGTGAGCTGAGATTGCACCACTGCACTTTAGCCTGGGTGAGAATGGAAGACTCCATCTAAAAAAAAAAAAAAAAAAAAAAAAAAGCCAAGCGTTCAAGACCAGCCTGGGCAACATAGTGAGACTCCATCTCTACAAAAAACCTAAAAATGAGGCAGATGTCATGGTGTGCACCTGCAGCCCTAGCTATTTGGGAGGGTGAGTCAGGAGGATCCCTGGGACCTGTATTGCCCAGGCTGGTCTCAAACTCCTGGCTACAAGGGATTCTCCCACCTCAGCCTCCTGAAGTGCTGGGATTACAGGTGTGAGCCACTGTGCATGGCCGAGACATTGTCTCTCTTTTTTTTTGAGTGGGGGAGGGGACAAGGTCTTGAGCTTGTCACCCAGGCTGGAATGTTAGTGGAGTCATCATGGCGCAGTGAAGCCTCAACCTCCCAGGCTCAAGCAGTCCTCCCACCTCAGCCTCCCAAGTAGCTGGGACCACAGCACCCCCACACTCAGCTAATCTTTTTATTTTTTGTAGAGGTGAGGTTTTGCTATGTTGTCCAGGCTGGCCTCGAAACCCTGAGCTCAAGCCATCCATTGGCCTTGGCCTCCCAAAATGCTGGGATTACAAGTGTGAGCCAAAATACCTGGCTGACATTATCTCTTTATTTTTATTTTGTTATTTTTTATTTTATTTATTTTTTTGAGATGGACTCTCACTCTGTCGCCCAGGCTGGGGTACAGTGGCACAATCTTGGCTCACTGCAACCTCTGCCTCTCCAGCTCAAGCGATTCTCCTGCCTGAGCCCCCCTAGTAGCTGAGATTACAGGCACACGCAACCATGCCTGGCTAGTTTTTGTATTTTTAGTAGAGACAGGGTTTTGCCATGTTGGCCAGGCTGGTCTCGAACTCCTGACCTCAGGTTATCCACCCACCTTGGCCTTCCAAAATGCTGGGATTACAGGCATCAACCACCGTGCCTGGCCTTTTTTTTTGATTTTTAATTTTAAGATGGAGCTGATCTCGGCTCACTGCAACCTCCACCTCCTGGGTTCAAGCAATTCTCCTGCCTCGTCCTCCCAAGTAGCTGGGATTACAGGCACCCACCACCATGCTGATGTAATTAATTATCTCTTTTTTTTTTTTTTTTCTGAGACAGAGTCTCGCTCTGTCACCCAGCCTGGAGTGCAGTGGCACAGTCTTGGCTCACTGCAACCTCCACTGGGTTCAAGTGATTCTTCTGCCTCAGCCTCCTGAGTAACTGGGATTACAGGCATGCTCCAACACACATAGCTAAGTTTGTATTTTTAGTAGAGGTGGGTTTTCACCATGTTGGCCAAACTAGTCTTGAACTCCTGACCTCAAGTGATCCACCTGCCTCAGCCTCCCAAAGTCCTGGGATTACGGACATGAGCCACTGTGACTGGTCCTTACAGGTTTAAAACTCTTGATATTATGAAATAGAATTTCAGATTACCATAAGTCATTTGTTTTGCCGAAAGGATGACTCAAAAATTTGAAAAAGCAAAATGCTTTGATTAGCCTTTACTATTACATAAAAATCCTGTTCAAGAGAGAAAGCCAAATTTTACCCTTCCATAAGTTTGCTATTAATGTTAACCCCAATTTTAATGAAATCCTATACACAATTCTATTTACTCTTTTTTTTTTTCTTTTGCATTGGCAAGATTTATTAAAGTGAAAGCGAAAGTGAAAGTAAAGCTTCCATGGTGGAAGAGGACCCAGAAGCATTGCCATTTTTGGCTTGGGTGTCTTATGCTTATATCGCCTTATGACCCCTCCCCTTTTTCTCTTTATGTCATATAGAATTAGCTTATTTTCTGTCCGCTTGTAGATTGGCAGGCGTGATTGGTTAAAAACATCAGGCTGCAGCTAGAGCTTAAACTCCCTGTATGATTGGTTGAAGGTTCAATCCCTTAGCTTGCAGCTATGACTTATTTTGGCTTAGGGGAAAGTTCCCTTAGGGAAGTCCCTATTGACACAGGAAGTCCTGCCAACTTAGCCACTTAATCCCTCAGTCTCGCCTCTCAAAAGGAAAGCCCAAGTGCTATTGGGAAGTTGGGCGACAATCATTCTAGCTACTTCCTGCTGACTGGGGCATAGAAGGGGCTCTGCAGTTGAGGCTTCCTCGGGAGGGGAGTCTTTGGTGTCATGGTGCGAGAACAGGTTGGTGGGTCGGTCTGGGGGTTCTCGATAGTAGGTGCTAGTGGTGGTCATTTGGGGCTCCATTTGTAGAATCATTTGCAGTTTCATGGATTCTATTCTGGAAGAGACAAATTTTACAAGGAGGTTAAAAATGCAGGGTGCAAAGATAAGCAAAATCGCAATAGCCACCAAGGGTCCCAAGAAGGGGAGAAGCCAGGGCATCCATTGGTTGACAATATTCCAAGGTCCTGTGTCTTGGAGCTCTTGTGGCCAGCACTATATCCAGTCTCAAAGCTCCTTAACCTTTTTGGTGACAATTCTGGATTGATTAATGAAATAGCAACACTCTTTTTCTAGAATAACACAGGTCCCACCTCTTTCAGCTGTTAATAAATTTAAGGCTTTCCAATTTTGGAGGGCTACTGCTGCTAAAGAGTTAGGCTAGCTTTGTAAGGTGACCAGCAAATCTGCGACTTGTTCCATGTCATCATTTAACTCTTGTGATAATTTGTAATATATTGGGGTGATCAGACCCAACACCAGGCCATGGGGGCTACGAAGTCTGGCGGAGTCAAAGGAATGAGAGAAGACAAGAGTGCAAAAAGTGGGACCAGGGGGCCAATGCTAGTATGGATGCTGTGAAGGCCCCAAGCTCTTGAAGCCCACACTATTTATTGGTGATCAAACAAAGAAGCAGGTGGTGAGGATGTGGGGGTTGAAAGAAAGCGGTGTATCAAGCACATGATCTACAGCTGTGATGGTTTAGCATTTTCTTTGAAGCATATGGAACATGTTCTGCTACTTGAGATAATAGGGAACATGTTCTTCTAGTTTAAGATACAATCGATCTATGAGCCTGGGAGGGCTAGAAGCAAGGAGCCAGAATGTCTAGACACATTCCAGAGGCCATGAGGGGTTTTATGCCCTGAGCCCTGGATTCCATCCAAGCCACAAGGGGTTTTATGCCCTGGGCTTAGAGTGTGGTGCAGCAGGGCAGCTTTCCACTCTTTGGCACAGAGCTTGGTGTTCCAAAGGCCATGAGGGGCTTTAGACCCTGGACCCTGGACATGTTCCAAGACTCTTTTACATTATGTCAGGCATGCAAATCCTGCCTCAGTTTTTTTCCCAACACTCCACTTTTCCCCAACAGTAGTAGAATTGGGTGGAGGTGGTAAAGCCTCCAATGACAGTTCCTAGTCCTCCTAGTATCTCAGCCCCAAAAATGAATGACAGGACAGTCGAGGTATGCTGAGATGACAGATCTTTAAAGGCAAATTTTTGACAGATCTTTAAAGGCAAATAAAAATTGCAAGTTAGGATGCAGAGGGATGCAGAAGAAAGTGTTCATAAGATCTAGAACTTTAAACCATTCTGCTTCCTCTATTATCTGGGAGAGTGGAGTATAAGGATTAGGTACAACTGGATTGTTGGAAACAAGCCTCCCAAAATCTGG